CCTGTGACGGGATTCTGAATGTGGAAACAGTACTTCCTATGTAATGAAGAGGAGGTAAATAAAAGTACATTTCTTATTTTAAATACTTGTCAGTCAGGAAAAATATCTTGATAATTGAAGTCATAATTGATTCTGAAGTGGTAATTGAAATTGATAATTTTCAATTGATAATTGAAAATGCTCTGTGCAATGGATACTAGGGCGCATTGCAGAGAATAAAAATACATTTGGGCATCTGTTATGGTCAGGGTTGAATAATCCTCTTTAAAAGACCTGGAAAATGCTCTGTGCCAGGAAAGGACATCTGTGAAGTAAGTAATCTATTGTCACAATGTGTTGAAATCAAGAATTTAAAGAAAATGAGGTCCTCATAGAGTGATGCTTGTGTCTGGGCCCTACCATGGACTCCAGTGTCCGTGTATCTCCATTTTCTTTATCTACTACCCCAAATCAGACATTAGCAACAGATGTGTTACCCAGCATTTTAAAATCTGATATCCCACATCTGTGAACCATCTTCCAGACTTTACTTATTTTGAGGAGGGAGAGGTAGAGGAAGTGGTGTGAAAACCCAGGTTCTCTGGAGGGTTCAGAAAAGAAATAAGCATTACTTGTACCATAACCATATGTACAACTCCTCTGGTGAAAGGAGATCTACTTAAAGTGGCCAGGAAGAGCCTCCACTCCACCCTCCCAAAAAAGTAGAGTCCTGGCCAAGAAACCAGAGTACCTGAATTCTGGTCTGCTTAACATGATGTAGATTTCACTCTCCATGACCCTAAATTGGATTGGATGTGGGCTGTGAGGGAAAAGGCCAAAGATGACACCTAGGTGTTGGGTTTGAGCAGCTGGATGAATAGATTGCTGTTAATGACATAGCATAATTCATTGAAGGAATGATTGGTATGGGGATCTGGAAGTCAGGATTGCATTTTGGGCTTGTTAGTCCTCATGCAAACTGAAATGGTAAATAAGAAGCAGTTGAAAGTGTAAGTCAAACTTTTCTGAAGGGTTGGAGCTATAGATGCATGGTATTTATGACCATGTGCTTTGAGGAGAGCACCCAGGTGATGATCCTGTAGATTAAGAAGTCCAAGAACCCCATCTAATATTTACAAATGTTAACCTCTCATGGGAGCACATGGTGGCTCAATCCCAGGACCCTGAGATCATGACCTGAGCCGAAGGCAGAGGCTTAACCCACTGAGCCACCCAGGCGCCCCTATTTTTAAACATTTTGAAGAGCAGTACATTATTAAAACTAACCAACAGGGGGCTGGAGAGAGGTGGGTATGGTTATAAAAGATCAATATATGGTGTTAAAACTCCTCAGTGTTTTGGGGCACCTGGGTGGCTCAGTCGGTTGGAGATCTTGGTTTAGGCTTAAGTCATGGTCCCAGGGCCTCATGTCAGGCTCTGTGCTCAGCAGGGAAGTCTGACTGAGTCCCTCCCCCACTCACACATGCTCACGTGCATGCGCATCTTCGCTCTCTCTCAAATCTTAAAAAATATTCCAGTGTTTTGACTGTTGTGATGAATATATGAATTGAATTTACATAAATAACTAATACAAATGAGTAAGCATAAAACTGAGAAACTCTGGATAAGATGGATGATTATATCAAAGTCAGTATCCTGGTTGTGATACAATTATAGTTTTATAAGATGCTGCCATCAGAGACACTAGGCAGTGTGTAATGGGTGTATCTGTTTCTTAAAACTGCACATGAAACTAATTTCAATTGAGAAGCCAACTTTTAAGAAAACAATTATATAAGCTTTCCGTTAATTTAAAAACAAAAGTAATAAACACTCAAGAAAACAAGGGTTGCCTGAGTGAGATAATTGGTTAAGCACCATTCTTGGTTTCAACTTAGGTCATGACCTCAGTGTCATGAGATTGAGCCCCAAGTGCAGCTCTGTGCTCAGAAGAGTCTGCATGAGATTCTCTCTCTTCTTCTCCCCCTCCTGCTTGTGAATGCAGCTTTCTCTCTCAAATAATAAATCTCTAAACCAAACCAAAAAAGCAAAAATGGGACATTAACATTCTTACAAGTAAAAAAAAAAAAAAAGAAAGAAAAAAAGGTTAACCAACTGATTTACCTCCTTCAAGTCTATCTAGCGTTAACAAGGAGAAAAAAAAATTGTCTTTACTGTATTAGCTTTTCCCCTTTTTTGACGTTTGAAAGTATGCAATTCTAGTTTCACAAAGTCATACCAGTAGTCCGCAAACTTAGAAAGCTTTCAATCTCTGAAAATTTAAATTTTTTTTGTAAATTTAATTTTATTGAGAAAAGGCTATTCAGAGGTCATTTGATACAGCAAGGCTCTGCTTTTCTCGGGCTGCATTTTTTCAGACAAATGCAGTTAGGGTATTCATATTTTTTTAGAAGCAGTAGGAAATGTCTCTTACAAAGAAAATGCTTAAAAACCCAGCAGTGAGTCAAATAACTTCACTTAATATTAAGAGCTGTTAATATGAAGATATACATATTTGAAGATGTTAAATAGTGTTTTGTGAATTTGAACTATGACCTGTTTTAAGATGTTAAATACTAGTTCTTACTGGAATTAGAACTCCTTACATGGACATGCATGCACATAACCACTTTAATTTTTCTGTGGAAAGATATTTATCAGCATTTAAGCAAAGATGAGATCATATTCCATATTATTTTAGTGTATTTGAAGTATTGTAATTACAGGTTGTTAAACATAATTTTTGTTTTTAGGACTTTGATTTCAGTTACCTGGAACAAATATGCCACACATTCTTTAACACTTTTGTTAGTTTTTAATGGAAATCATTTTGACTTTGAACACAGTGAAGAGAAACTTTGTTTCTTTTACTTTGCATCCTATTAATTAAATTGTGTTTGTTCTTGAGATGACATAAAAAGTTATTTATTAGTGATTTTGTTTAAGAAAATTTTGGGTAGGGGCACCTGGGTGGCTCAATCCATTAAGCATCTGCCTTCGGCTCAGGTCATTATCCTAGCGTCCTGGGGTTGAGCCCCACTTGGGGCTCCCAGCTCAGCAGGGAGTCTGCTGTTCAGCCTCCCCCTGTAGTGCCCCCCGCCCCCCCAGCTCGTCCATGCACATCCTGGCGCTCTCTCTCAAATAAATCAATAAAACCTTTTAAAAAAAATCTTGGCTTTTTAAAAACTTGTTTTTAAATGAATTTGATTTTTTAAATCAACCTGGAAACATTTTTTTTTTTTTTTTTAGGAGAGAACCCCAGATCTGCTTTTCTAATGAATAAATATCAGACTTCCTACATCCTTCTAACCTGTTGTTTGTGCTGGAGACAGAGTGATCTTTCCAAAATCCTATTTAAAATCTCTCAGTGAAATCCTGTTGTTGTGAGAACCAACTCTAGATGCCCTAATGTGGCTGTGAAGAGTAGTTTATGAAGTAGCTGACCTCTCTCCAGCTCTATCTCCCATGTACCTTCCACTGCCCCCCAATATCTATCATTTCCACAACTATTCATCTCATCTCTATAGTCCTGGTGCTCTTTAAAAAATTTTTTTTTAAGATTTTATTTATTTATTTGACAGACCGAGATCACAAGTATGCAGAGAGGCAGGCAGAGAGAGAGGAGGAAGATGGCTCCCTGGCTGAGCAGAAAGCCCGGTGTGGGACTCAATCCCAGGACCCTGGGATCATGACCAGAGCGGAAGGCAGAGGCTTTAATCCACTGAGCCACCCAGGCGCCCCCTGGTGCTCTTTTACTAGAACATCTTTCCCCATTTCTTGACTCTTTCTATATGTCCTGATACTACCATCCTGTTGACCTGCATGGCCCCTACTTATTTTTTTCAGGCATTATTTTTTAAAGCTGCTTTAAAGAATGTAATCTGATCAATTTAAAGCTCTTCAGGAAATAGAAAAGTTAATCTGTATTCTCCTGGGTGTTTAGTGTTATACTCAGTATTAATCCAGTCTTCAGGTGGACCTTTATTATAGCACAGTTGTATTATCTGGTCCAGGTTTCTTTATGATGGAAGTAAGAAAGGAAAAGGAATTAAAGTCCAGAGAAACATTTGTAGCCCATCCAGTACATCCCACACAGTGCATGGCTCATAGGACCTCCTCAGTTTAGCAGTTTTTATGGTGAGCTAATAAAGGAAATTGATTATGAATTGTGGAAGAGAAGGGAATCATAAGGAAAAGTTCAAAGAAATTATACAAGAAAAGGATTATTTCACTGGATCAGTGAAAATAATTTTCCATGTAAACATCTTTAAAAATGTTGGTAGCAGGCTTCTCCTACTTTCAATGAAATTTAGAAGAAGAGAATGGAATTCAAATATGGTGCCAATCTGTAAGAGAGTGGAGGGTTTCTTGGTAGCATGAAGCTATTTTTTTTTTTTTTTTTTTTTTTTTTTTTTTTTTAGTAGCATGAAGCTATTGATGCTAGAATGAGAATATTAAGATTTAAATGGTAGGAAGTTCTATCAGTTAATCAAATAATACTTTAATAATTTAGCACAAACACACAAACTTGTTATGAAAATGAAGGGAATGTTTTTCGAAAGGACAAAGAAGTAGAACATTATTCAGTATCTCACCACTCTGGAAATCTGAAAGAACAAAACAAGATATTTATCTATCTGGAACTACTCAGGGCTGACCTTCCAAAGACGGAGGGATGGACTGAAAAAGCTTCCAGACAATGTACTGTAATTTCAAGGAAATAAGGACTTCCTGGTTTTAGAGTTGTTGTGGAGAGGCTGGACCAGGAATTATTATAATTAGATTTTTGATAAACTGAGCTATTACCATTAGCAGTTTAACAACTTTTTTTGGTGAACAAAACCAAAATGAAAAGTGCCCAAGAAATTTAATCAGACTGCCAACCTAATTAAATATCATTCTGTATTCCCAATAAGTAGCTGAGAGAATTTATTAAAAACAGTTGAGTCCTTAAATCTTTGCTTGAATCTGCGAGTCACGGTCATTCAGTAATCACTTATGTGTAATTTCTGTTTTTCAAGCTGGATAACGCGGATGAACAAGCAGCCCAGATCAGGAGGGAACTTGACGGCCGATTACAGCTGGCAGAGACAATGGCAAAGGTAAATTATTAACTTCGACATCCGGTGCAACATTTCTTTTTACTCCTATTTCTGTGAGCTGAAAGAGTTCTGTATAGATAGTATAATTCTATCATTTTCTTCTCTGTGTGCATGCTCCTTAAGCCCAAATACCTGAGTGCATATTATCTAAATGGAGCATATTTTCTATTTTACACATCCTTTCTTACACATAGAACATGTTTAAACTCAATAACTTTTGTAGATTATTCTGAAAGTGATGCCTGAATTTCTCAAATGACCAGATTTAAAAGAATTTTAATATTGTGCTAAATATAACCTAATCAGGGAGTAAAATTTTGTCTCTGCAAAATCATGTATTCCAAGCTATTTAACATGTGCTTGGCATATAGTGGGGTCAACTAATATTTGAATGGATGAAAAATCTAACTGAAGTTTCTAATAAAAGACTTTCACAGGTAGTGTGTTCAATATAATTTATTTGTACAGTCAAGTGTTTCTATGTAACAGGAATAAATTTCAAACCTATTCTCTTTTTTTTCCATTTTATTTTATTTTCAGTGTTCCAACATTCCTTGTTTATGCACCACACCCAGTACTCTATGCAATACGTGCCTTCCGTGATACCCACCACCAGGCTCACCCAACCCCTCACTCTCCTCCCCTCCAAAACCCTCAGTTTGCTTCTCAGAGTCCACAGTCTCTCATGGTTCATCTCCCCGCTCCAATTTTCCCCAACTCACTTCTTTCCATCTCCCAATGTCCTCCATGTTATTCCTTATGTTCCACAAGTAAATGAAACCATATGATAATTGACTCTCTGCTTGACTTATTTCACTCAGCATAATCCGCTCCAGTCCCGTCCATGTTGATACAAAAGTTGGGTATTCATTCTTTCTGATGGAGGCATAATACTCCATTGTATATATGGACCATATCTTCTTTATCCATTCATTCGTTGAAGGACATCTTGGTTCTTTCCATAGTTTGCCAACTATGGCCATTGCTGCTATGAACATTGGGGTACAGATGGCCCTTCTTTTCACTACATCTGTATCTTTGGGGTAAATACCCCAAAGTAGTGCAATTGTAGGGTCATACAGAAGCTCTATTTTTAACTTCTTAAGGAATCTTCACACTGTTTTCCAAAGTGGCTGCACCAACTTGCATTCCCACTGATAGTGTAAGAGGGTTCCCCTTTCTCCCCATCCTCTCCAACACATGTTGTTTACTGTCTTGTTGATTTTTGCCATCCTGCCTGGTGTAAGGTGGTATCTCAGTGTGGTTTTGATTTGAATCTCCCTGATGGCTAATGATGATGAACATTTTTTCATGTGTCTGTTAGCCATTTGTATGTCTTCTTTGGAGAATTGTCTGTTCATGTCTTCTGCCCATTTTTTGACGTGATTATCTGTTTTGTGTGTGTTGAGTTTGAGGAGTTCTTTATAGATCTTGGATATCAGCCCTTTT